TGTTTTAGTTTAACGAACCGTCTCTGCCAGGTTTACGCCATTTTTATAGTGAAAAAAGTGTGATCTACCGGAATATAGATATGTAAAATAGCATTTCTTATTGCAGAACCCTTGATATTGGCTCTACCGGTGTCTTTTGCGGACACGACACAGCCTTGCGTACTGTCATTAGGAAAGCCACAGTTCGAGTCCTGCTCCAAGCAACATTCAAGCTTATAGAAAACTAACTTTTGTAAATGCGGTCGACTCTCCTCAGAGAACATCAAGCACTGCGAGTGCATTTCCGACATAAAAGAAAACGCTCGTCATAAAAAACCATCATCAGCTCGGAGGAGGCTTGGTATAAACTGTAGGTCGCTCCATTTGTTGGAAAAACATCAAGACGCAAACCACAAATTGGAGGAGGAGCTCGGCCGAAAATCACTTCAGCGGTTATAGAGCGCCAATTATATACATAAATATAAATATATATTGTATGTATACATATATGCATTATACATACATTGACAATGTAATTCATCATTATAAAGAGGGTTTCAGCAAGCAAGCGACAAAGCATTGTAAAATTTAAACGCTAAAGTGGATTATCTGTTTGTTATTGTAGTTGGAGTTGCTGCAGCTCAAGGCAATTAAGTGCTTTATTTTCACCTTTGTCCATACTAGGTGCACATTAGTTGTACTTTATGATGCATTTTTAATATATATACACGTCCGCATGTGTATGTTTTTAAACTCAGACAAAATTTTTGCTGATTTCATCCCTTTGATGCTTATCAAAACGTTGATTATGCCAGCGTTAATGGTCATTTATAACAACGAGTGGCTTGCATTGCCTACGCCATGAGTATATGTACGTATGTATTGGTAAATATGTACACAGTAGGCGTTTACACACATAAATTGGGGGTGGATTTTTTCAAAAATGCACTAATGCATTTTAGTCGCTGTTAGGCATTTATTTATAAACACACAAGCAGCTGACAACTTCATCTCTCTGTCCGGGCACAATAAATGCAGCGGGCAGCAAAGAAGTGCACGCGCCGCGCCATGTGTAGCAGGAAAAATAAATAAATTCAAAAATAAATTAATATTCAAAAATGAGAAGTGCACATTTTGCCTACCCGGAAGTTGTGTTCAATTAAGAGTTAAATAAGAGTAAAAAAAAAAAATTAATGTAAATTTCCTAACACTTAAAATGCAACCATAAACATTTTCAAAATTTCGTTAGAAACACATAAATAAAAAAATTTTATCAAAAATTATATCAAAAACACTTCCAACACAATTGCGGACATGCACTCACCGCAAAGAAATTTGGTGTGGAATGAACTTAAACTAACACACATACACACACACACACACACTTTCAGGCACCCGCAACTGCAACTGCTGCAGCCACACAATAAATTCAATGCACTTCACCAGCAGCAACGCCTGCATTCACACTTCCACACAGCCGGCATACGTCACGCTGCACGCCTACACCACTACGCAGTGTGGCAGGCCGTTAGCCAGCGGGTGAGGGCTGTCTTTTCATTAAAAATATGTATATACGAGAATATTTAAAAGTTTTTTTTTTTAACAAAATTCATAAATTTTGCAGCTAGTAATAGTAAACAAATAAATAAACATACACACAAGCATACGTCGTATGTATGTCTGTAAGTGTTATTCATTTTCGGTTCCGGTCGCCGACTATTCATAAATGCTGCCTACCAATATACGACAATAAACGATAAAAATAACAAACTGTATCGGTTGCCAGTTTTACTGTTTCCCCTCCCCAACGTTTTCCTGGTCAGCAGCACTCATAGCGAAATGAATGAATTGGGCAAGTGACACGTTTGGCCACAGCTGCTCATTTATTTAGCGCATAAAATATTTTACAACATAAACATTTCCTGTAGAATACATTCAGGCGTTGTTGAAAAATTGTTCACAGCGCTGTCTGGGTAGCATAGCCGCTGTTGGGCGCTCGCAATTTCCGTCATTCACTGTAGGCAGCAGTTGTTGGCAGATACTTAGTAGCAGTCGTCGCTGTCTGCTGTAGTACGTATGTTTTTGTAGTATATTACTACATACATACATGTATGACCGACTAGTTTCATTTAATTATTGACTTGGCATGGATCGCTGATCTGCTGCTTGGGGTGGATTTTTGATTTTAAATTTCGCAGAATGAATTTTCATTCAGCGTTCTTCTACGTGGTGCTCGCTGTGAGGGTGAATTGATTTTAAAATTAATTTAGAATTTTTGAGAGTTGGGACTGATTGGGAGAGTTAATCTACGGATTTAATTGAGCAATTTATGCGATCTTAAACCACATTTTATATAAATCTGTATGCACATATGTGCGAAGTTTGACACTAACAACAAAGTTCATACACTCACTAACTTGACAACTACTTTGGCATTGTTTGGTTTGTTCCAAGTGTTCAATATAGAGCTTTAACTTAGGTTTATTAAGAAATAATCTGGACATGACCTATTACATTAGACATACTTAGAGCGGTACTGTGTAATCGAAAGCGAGGTTCAAAAATAAAACTACGCGCTCACCACGGTCGTGCTGGGACCGAAGATTTGAAAGAGCAAACGAGCTGCTAGCAGACACCACAGGGCTTTCCTTTAATGTTAACGTGTTCAGCGGAAAGATCCAGCTCTTGCACTGTAATAAGTTCCAAGCAATATTTTCGGTGGTGATTCGTACGGTAGAATTGCAGTACCTTAATCAAAGGAATACCCGCATTTTGTTGTACAGGAGAAACATCTCATCGTGGTGCTCTACGCTTTTTCCAATGAGCTTGTAAGGTTATCAACTGCGTCTCACTAAGACCAGGTATCAATATTGGGAAGCATTCCACAGTCGCGACTGTCTGTCTAGAATATAATCTAGACAATTTTTAAAAATCTAGCAATTTTTTGTTTGAGCTATGGATCATTTTAGACATTTTTATGTCTGGAAATGCAAATTTTTCAATGCGAGTTTTTTAAACAGTTTCATGCAAGGACACCAGGAGTTGAGCAAACTATTGCGCAGAGTTGCCCTTATTTTCTGTCTTACCGAAAACGCACTATATTTTGTCATTAGCCGAGTGGTTAGCAGTGGGTACTGGCATGCGAAATCAAGTTTTTTTCAGCTCAACCCATCAGCAGCCTCCGAAACTATTGGCTCGCGGTCAAGAGAAAAGAAGGAACGATGAGAATTTCCGTACTGCAATGGAAAGACAAAACTCTGGTTGCCTCACAACGTTACAATCGAGTGCACCCTACCCTATAAAGGTCTTGAGCAGCTGGCTGACAAGGGTAGAACCCGAAAATCTTACCAATAGAATGCGTTGATCGGAGCATGGATATCCACTCGAGACCTAAAGAAGTGATCTGATGGCCAATACCTAGAGTAACCAAAATTTATGGACGAAATTTAAGAAGAACTGTAAAGAGAAGCCTTCATCTTGCTTTCACATTCCCGAGATATCGTTTTGGATCTATTTTTAATGCTTTTTACTCACAGTATGCACGCATAGTCTTAAGTTTTTAATTAATTTGTAAAGTCATTGACTCAATAAATTGTGAATTGAATTGAAAAAGTGAAATATCCAAAGATTATTGGGTTTTCGATGGGACATCAGACAAACTGGTTACTTACTGTGGGACTGTCATCAAAAAAACGATCAGCACATTCGCGTACTCTCCTTTGTTAATCATAACTTTAAGGTCGTGTACAGTTCACTTTTCTGGAAGCAGAATCTCTTGAAGCCAAAAGGTACTACTTTAGAAGGAATAGACAATTGAAAAGTTTAGTTCTAGCACAGCGAAGAAATACCAAACTCTGCAAGCTCCACAAATCTCCCGTCCTGCTATATCGTCGGGGCCGCTGACAACATCTCTTGAGTCGGCTTTATGACCTCCATTCGATTGGAAAGATCAGATGGGAAAGGAGCTGGTTAGTATCTCTAATTCGCTGCTAATGTCGATTCGGCAACAATCGCGTAAAAAGTGGTTGCATATACATCTAAAACTGCATACTATAACGAACTTGAAACCGCAATATCTCGTAGAAGTAATTGACATTAGGAAGTTGGTAGTATCCCTGTGGGCTATGGGGTTCAAAATTTTATAAAGCTTCCTTATATTACCCTTAGCTAACACTCTACAGCATGCCATTGGGATACCAGCGTAACAACAAATGCAAATATTTTCTACGCGCTGTTACTCTAGCCCATTTTCTTAAGCGTTGCTTTCAAAAGCGTCTTCCTCCGCTTCAGCTGAACACCCAGCGCAATTCAGCGCACTTTTGTGTTAATGTGCACAGCGTCTGGCCCCAGCGCTGTTTGCGCCAACATGAACTGAATCAGCGCCGTAAACGTCGCCATCGCCTTTGCCTGACAGTGGTGGCGAGAGAAAAAATAAAGTCAATCGTGAGCGCTTTTATACTTTTGGTCAGTGTTTTTGTTTTTGCCTACCTTCTCAATGCATACATTGTTTTTACAATTGACGCTTCTTTGCTTTGTGTTTACGCGCACTTTGTGTTTTGCATTTTGCCTTTTTGTCTTCTTCGCTAGTTCGTTTTGCTTAGCCATTCTTCACGTTGGCTTTTGGCTTTAGCTTTTTCATTAGACACTTTTTTGCCTTTTATTTTGCTATGGTTGTTTGTTGTTGTTGCTGTTGTTGTTATTATTGTTGACGCGCACATATTCTTGCTTGACTTGTTTGTCTGTTGCTTTTTCTGTTTATATTCCTGCCTTTACGCCGGTCGTTTTGCGTGTATGTTTCGTGGCTGCGATTGCTTAGACGGCGACTGCTGAGGTGGCGCTCCTCTGCTAGTGGAGAGGCAATCGCAGTATATGCATCTGTGTGTGACTGTGTGTGCGCGCGTAGTTTGGTGCTGGTGGTGGTTGGTGGCAGCATTGGTAACAATAGCGTCAGCGCGCCTTGGCTGATGATGACAGCCCGCGAGCAGCTAATAGCGCTAGCCAGCAGAGGGCAGTCAGTGAGCCAGCGACGTTGAGCACCCAATTCGACAATGCTTGCTTGCTGGCTGGTTCAGTTTTAATTCTGACGGCTGACAGTTGAGTTGATTTCGTGCGTAGAACGCGGAACGTCAAAGCTAACGAAGCTGCCTGCTCTTTGACTGACTTTACTTTTACTGTCTTTGGCGACAGTGACTGTGCGTGGTGTTTGTGAGTGTATGTGGTCGATGAACCATTTTTTTTTGGCTTTTGCCAAACACTAAAGTTTGCTTTACGTTGTTTGAATTGGAATCAAACGATTACCGTTTAAAAAATAAAAGTGATACTAAATATTTGCAAAAGGGATAAAAGTTGTGTAGTTTTCTTCAAAACAAAATTTAGTGACATAGTGAATTTCGGCGAGAAGCTTGCTACGACAGGAGTAGGAGCGAAAGAAGCAGAAGCAGGAAGAATTTAGCGAAAATTTCACAGAAACTGGTGCGTGTTAATTTAAAATTTTATAAAAATTTATTGATTATTTAAATTTATAAAAATCAAAAAATAAGCCTCTAAGTGACCTTGCTGCTGTGCTGTGGTGATTCATAAAATTTGCCCAATGTATTTGATTTTGAGTGAAAAAAAAGAAAAAAAATTCAAATATTTATTTCTCAAAATAAATTTGAATACGTTTCGTAGGTGTTGGCCAGCTGCGCTGTGTATTTGATTGCAGTGGGCCTAATGGGTAAAGATATTTAGTTAGAAAAGTTAACAGAAAATTTGAGCGGATCTTAAGATTTTTATCTGCAAAAAGGAAATGGTTTGTTTCATATAAAAAAGAAAAGAAATTGAAATATAAATTTTTATTACTTCAAAAAATATATGAGTGTTTTTTAAAGCATTTTCTTAGCAACACAAATATTTCCAAAAATTTGCGATTTTCAGCTGTGAATAAAATTAAAAAAAAATTTAAAAAAAAATTTCAAAATTAATCAGAATATTTTTTTTTGTTTGCGTAGTGTTTGATTTAGGTTTATATTTACAGTGGGCCTGATTAGTAAAAGTTTGATTTATAAAGTTAAAGTTAAGTGCGTACAATAATGATAGTGAATAGAATTTTATATTGTAATTTAATGGTATGCCGCGAATGAAAGAATATTTAAAAGAAGGATATTTTCACAACATATGAATTTAAGTTAGAGAAAACGAAGAAAATAAATTTAATTAGAAAAGGAATTAGAAATTAGAGAGGATTTCTCTAAACGATTTCTTTAACAAAAACTACCCAAATTAATTTTTTTATATTATCTTTGATTATATTTATTTTAATGTTAATTTTATTTATTTTTATTATCCAAGTTAATTGGAAAAAAATGATAACAATTAAAAAAAATATTTTATATTTATTTTTACCGGTAAGAACTTAAGAGATATAATTTGAAAAAATTATTAACTAACTATAAAATATGCCAAAAACAAGCAAATGTTAAAAAAATTATTATATGTATATACATATATGTATATAGTATGTATGTGTTACCAAAATAGTAAAACATTTAACAACTTTCTTATACACTTAAATGATTATGATATTTTCTATAACAAAAACTGAAATTAAGTAAATCACATCTATGAAGGGTGAAAAAATTTAATAAGAAAAAAATTTATCAAAAAAAGTAAATAAGAAATTCTGAAAGTTATAAATATGAAAGTATATTAATTAATAATAATTTATAAAATAACCCATGAAATTCAATTAAACTTTTTAGTTATTAAAAATTTGTATATAAACTTTACATTCATTGCCTTTATTGTCCTCAACCAGGCCTGATTTATGGTACTGTTGTGCTCTGTTCCGAGTGTCAGCCAGTTTGTCTGTTATACTCGCATAATTGCCCTTTTGTGTGGGCCTGCCATCTGCAGTAGTTTTTCAGCCACTTTCACCATCGATATTCAATATCTCGGCTCGAAATTTACTGCCCTCTTTTATTTTAAAGATATGGGGAGCTTATGTCTGCTAACCTGAGTTTTTTCTTTCATCCGTCTGTCTCTATTATACATAGCAGTCAGTGATTTCCCGGAAGTGAGGAACGGGCCAGCACACTGTATTTGTATTTTTAGGAATAACGCTCACATGTGAGAGACTTTTTACCAGAGTTGATGAGGAACGATTCCATTTTGATTTGTTAATATGAAAATTAAATAATTTCGTTTCGTCATTGATGATATCAACAGCACACTTCAATTTTAACGTTTAACATTATCTGTTAACGATTGAAAATTAAAGAAAACATTTCGTTTCGAGTAAAAACGAAATAGAATTTATTTTGAAAACTCCTTTAATGATTAATGTTATCACCAAACGATTAGAGTTTTTTGTTTAACTTAAAATTTATTTTTGCGATTTTTTATTTATAGAAAATATTTAGATTCTTTTATTGCTATTGAAACTATTGCCTTTGCTGTTATGGAATTGAACAAACATTAATTAATTTTGCAAAAACTGCTTCGTTAAAAATTTGGAATTTTATTTCATAACATAACAATAATTTTGATTATTCCGAAAATTAAAAATAAAAACTTGTTTTAATTAGTATTGAAATACCACAAATTCTGTATACTTATAACAATTTTTCTCTATATTGAAAGTGCCAAAGGAAATATTGCATTTGAAATTTTTCGTTAAAAAGTTATAATTTTTTGCAATAAATATTAATTTTGCTAGCTTAATGGATTTTTTATGGAACCGATGCTTTAGTATTCAATTAAATTATTTTAAATTATATATTATAAATGAAATTATTTAATTAATAGTAACTTTGATTACGCATTATAGCTTTCCTAAACATAAGACTTCATGTTTAGTGTTTGTGTGCATAAATATAACACATAGTACATTTCATGTTAATCAAAAAGTTTGAATCGATTCAGTTTGAATTATTTGCAAACGTTATTCTAAAAGCAGTTATCGAAATATATTTGATTTCATATTTAAACGAACGAAAAGCTGTCGTTAATGTTAAATCGCTTACAGATAATGTTAAACGTTGAAATTTAAGTGTGCTGTTAACATCATAGCAGGTGCCGTTTTAAAATTAACATTAACGCTAAGTTTGTACGGTTTCAACATAAACAATTTCGATTGGTTTCGAAATCTTGACGCCGAAACGAAAAGAAATTATTTCTTTAAGTTTATTTTTCTTATTAACAAAACGAAATGGCATCGTTTCGTTAGTTGGGCATATCTGATTCAAATGGAAAAATATTTTTTTCATTCCATATCGAGAAACTCTGTAATCGATTGTTCATAAAATATTTAGAATTTGCAGAGTTTTAGATATTTTTTTAATTAAAAAATAAATTACTATTACCGCCTTCTTTAACAAGTTGAAAATAAACTCAATTTGAACGAAATCTGCCCAACCCTTTGAAATTATGCAAAAAAGCGCGCCAAATCCAAGTGTTTTGATGATGACGATACCAAATCAAAAATATAAACATAAACAACAATCTAAATTATATGCTTACATACATCTATAGGCAGTACACCCAGTAGCATATACTGTTATATTAGCTTAGCCTATAAGTTTGATTTTTTGTGTTGTTGCAAATTCAGCCATACATAAAAGCAAACACTGCTTGCTAGGAGGTCTTCCTTTTTTGTTCTTGTTTTTGTTTTTTCTTTTTGCAAATTTTATGCACTGAAATGCGATAGTCGGCAGTGCACCCGGCAAAGGCAGGCTCGTGCACATGTTGCATCGGCAACAACAACATTAGTGGTAAATTTTGCGGTTTGTGAGGATTTGGTTGGGATATGGTTTGTAGCATGTTGCACGTTGCATGGCTGAACGCTTGGCAGCCAAGCAGAACGTATGTATGCATGCTTGTAAGCATGCACGTATGTATGTATGTATGTATGTATGTATGTATGCATTGTATGCATAGAGTAGATGCTGAAACATGGATATGTACTAAAAACCATACTGATGTACAAAACAACTGTATGTATGAATGAACGTGTATGTACAAGCATCAAGCATACAATGAATTAAAACTCCAATTGGTTGCATGAATGGCACATTTGTTGCTTGCAACAACATTATAAGGGGCGGCAAAACGTTTTGCTTCCATTTAATTTACGCATTGAAAGAAGCGCTTTTGCTCTCAATCGCTTTTCTTTATTGCACTTTAAACAATTTAAAATGTACGAGAGTAAACATACATACATACAAATGTATGCGCGTATGTAGGCGTTGGATGCTGGCAAGTGGAGAAAAACAAATCGATAAAATCTTTTATTGAGGAAATAAATGCAACTATAAATAAAGCTAATCAATATGGATGTTGAAGCTGCTCTATTAGTCTTAACCGTAGGGAGGCCGCCGTCTGAAGATACGCGCACACTTATATAGCTACATACATATATGCAGAAGTAAGTGCGTCGCTTCACGTGCATTGCTGAATGCTTATAAAAATAAACACAGATAGAAATATAAACGAACACATCAGTACACCCGCATGCCTACACACATACATACATTTATATAATCGTGTCTGAATTTTATTTATTTAATTTTATTTTTGTCAATATTTAATTGTTTTAATTGCCAGGACACGCGCTCTTAACGCACTTTTGCTCAGCGGTAAACAGCTGCTTAGACGAATTCGAACATTTACATACATATCAGCATATATGTACGGGGTTTTCCGATATGAGGTGTTATTTTCGTATTCGAATAAAATGATGGCTTTTAAGACAAATCCTCGGATGTTTATTTCATTAATAATCGATGGCCAATTCCCATCACCTATTCAAGAGATGATACTATCCAGAAACTTGTCTCTTAAAATATTGGTGGTTTCGTTGCTTATGTGGCACGTAGCTCCGAATTGTTGAAAATAAATGTTGTCCCGATCAATACTATTCAATTTCGGGCACAAGAAATCATTGATCATCTCTCCATAGTGCAATCCATTCCCCATAACTGTTGCTTAAGCCTAATTGCGGATCATAAACCGCACCAAACAGTTGTACGTTGCGGTTGGAGAGACTTTTCAACAATATACTTTGGGTTCACCGAGCTCCAGATGCCAGTTTTCCAGTTTTGCTCATTGACGTAGCTATCGGGGTTGAAATGATTTTTCAATGAAATACTGGACCATAATTATGCATTTCAAGAACCTTATTAGCAAAGTCACGACGTTGTTGAGGATCGGCCGGCTTGAGTTCTTGAGTTAGATGAAGCACCCGATCTTTTTGCAAAATACGGTGTAATGACGTTTTTGGAACGACGGTTCTGGTTTTTCTTCAATACTTTTGGCCAGAGCAGCAGTATTCACCGTGGTGCTTGAGCGAGGGCAAGTGTTTTATTCTTCACATCACTAAATTATCCCAAGAGCTCTATTTTTTCTACGAATTTCAGTATTGCGGCCCAACAAGGTGCCTCACGGAGCTCGAAAAAAGTTTTAGCTTACGAACTGTCTCTGCTGGGATTTCATCA